CTCCTTTAAGTCAATATTTAGTAGATGCACTATTACAGTACTGAGCCTGTGTGCACAGGTCTCAGCCTTCGATGTCTGGACGCTGCAGTTTTACCTCATTCTTCTTTGCAAAATTGCTCAGACTCTTTCATGCCGCATTTGGATTATGAGTGAACAGCCTTTTTCAAGTCTAACCACAAATGGTCAATTGGCTCGAGGTCTTGGCTCTGACTTGGCCACTTTGGAACAATCACTTTGTTTTCCTTGAACCATTTCTGTGTAGTTTTAGCTGTAAGCTTTGGGTCAATGTCTTGCTGTGTAACAAGTGTTCTCCCAAGTCACAGTTCTTTTACAAACTGCATCAGGTTCCCCCATACCTTGCTGGATTCATTTTACTTCACAGGTCTTCCAGGGCCTGCTGCCCAGAAGCATTACAACATCATGATGCTGCCACCGCCATACTTCACACTGTCCAAAAAGCTCAATAAAGTTTCACACATGCCTTCTAGTGAACTTCAGTTTACAGATTTAATATGAGCTTTTTTTCAACAGTGGCTTTCTCTTTCCCACTTGCCCTAAAGCTTTGACATGGAAATTTTCTTGGCTAGTGCTTTTCATTCATCCTTTTTTATGGAGTTGCTTGAAGCATTCTTTTGTCTTCATGGGGTAGTTAGAGCCAGGAGTACTGATTCACCAGTGACGGGACTTTCCAGTTTAGGTGTCTTTATACAATAATCACTTGAGACCCTTTTACTGCACTCAGACCATTTGCATTTTACCAGTTGTTGGAGTTTTAGCGCCGACCGGCTTCACCAACATTGAATGATTTGAGACACTGTGAAGGGAGTGAATACAAATGCGGTCACTTAATTTAAATTGTATATTCTTATTTAACATTACTTTGTAGAAATCTGTTTTTACTCTGACATGAAAGAGTCTTTTTTGTAAATGTGACTGTTAGTCAGACTTTGAGTATCACATATTTGGTATTGAGGTCAGTGGGTCCAATCTAAAAGACTCTATTTCTGACTGTCCTCCATTGATGTGGATGAACCGGGTTAACAGGGCGACGTGACTCTGCAGAATGGGAGCACACACACGTTCTCGCCCATATACAGTTTCATGCACTATCTCGTCCTGGCACTCACCCAAGACACATGAGCGATGTGGGGAGTTGCCTATGTGACAACCCACATGTGGTCTCTGGTACATGTATCCAAGGTGTTTTGCTGATGAGCGTACTTTCTAAAAATTCACTGGCATGAGACAAAGGCCTTGCTTTGAAGGATAGATGGTGTGCATATGTGTGTGGCTTTCACATTGGAAGGAATTAGACAAGTTGAGAGTGAGGAAATAGAAACAAGGAGAGGAGGCTGAGCAGTGTGGAGACTTTCTTTCACAAAGCCAAATATTCCAACAGATAGGGAAGCACCTTTTTGATGCTAAAGTGACTCAAAAGACACTTAATCATCTAATAATTAAGCAATCATCTCTTTCAACCACTCAAATCTGTTTTATGTCACTGTAAACTGTGGTTGGTTGGTTTTACAAAACAAGCAACATCACCTTGGACTCTGGGACTGATTTTACATTTTTAAGACTAAATCTCTGAATCTCTGAGGAGTGTGAACATGTCAGCCTTTGCAAGATGGCAATTCCGTCCACTTTCTGCAGCTCAAAGATATATTTGGTTCTATATTGTCTGAAAAAGTGCTATTCATTGCAACTAACGTGACCCTCAGTTAATATTTTATCCTTTTTTTGTGTGCAGGCCTCATGGAGACAGATATGAAGCAAATTTATACAGCCTTGAAATTCATTGGGAATGGGACTAGAACTAGGGTTGTGGTGAGTTGATAAAAGCCTTATCATCTTATTATATCTTATAGACATATCCTTTATTTATATAAATCTTAAAGGTCTTAGGATCAAAATGTAACCAAACCGTTTTAAAATGTTCTCAGTACAGTAAATTTACATTTTGGCAACAGCCGATAAACCTGAAGTTTAACTTGAACAGCAGAGCCAGAGAAAATAAAGGGGTCAAATATTTAACGTTGTTGACCCAGTTAACTACAGTGGCAGAAGGACAAGAGGCAGCATGAAATCTAACACCTGCAGACCTCTGGGAAACACACACACACACACACACACACACACACACACACACAAGCACACTTTTACTTTTCACTGCGAGCCACTTCCATTAACACCCACAAAAGACGCATACGTGCTGAAAGTGTTCTTAAACGCAAACAGAAACAAACATTTGTCCTCACTTATTATTGTCGTTACATTATTTATAGACTGGAAACAGTTTCACAGTAGTTTATGGCTGTTTACGGGTGTTTAGCAGGAACATCAGTGCTGCAGTTCATCAGTTACAAATCTAACAGTAAAGGTAAAGTTTTACCAAGAATTTAATCAGCAACTTAGATGGACAACAAATACAGAACACCCAGAATAAGACAAGTTTTGGGTTCTATTTTGCTTTTGTTTCTTGTGAGTCACTGAATAAATATACTTCTTCCGGACTCAATTAATATTTTACAAAATGGTTGAGTGACAGATGCACATTGTTCTGTTTGAAAAGATCACTCGTACAAAAGGCAAATGAGAGATTGGAACGTTACAGAAGAAATATGTCATCTCAGTATAAATTATCAGGCAGACAAGGTTATTGGTAGGGCTGCACAGGTAGTTGAGTATTCCTTTCCATCACGATTTTGGCTTCCTACAATTGAATGATTGCCTGTGATATGGATGTTTAAAATGATTCAAAGTTTGATTCAAATTATTGTGATTATGGGGGGGGGGGCACGATGATGCAGCGCTGTCGACCCACGTTCGAATCTTGGCCTGGGGTCTTTAAATGGTGATTTTAAGTTGTCTGTAGGTGCAAATGTGCTTGTTTGTCTGTCTCTCTGTGTGGCCCTGTGATAGACTGGTGACCTGGATGTACCCTGCCTTGGCCATAAGTCAGCTGGGATAGACTCCAGCCCCCCGCGACCCTACAGAGGATAAAGCGGTGTATAGATAATAGATGGATGGATGACTGTGATCATCACTTTGGCCATAATGTTGCAGCTCTCATAAGTTTTACTAGTTGATTGAACATTTCCAAACACACAGCTAAACAAAGACTGAATTAGTTTAAAGTACTGAAAGCAAGAGTACTGTAAAAATGAAATAAAATAAAATATAACAAAAAAAACCTTCACGCTTCTTTAGTTAGAAAAGAAAGTAAGTGTGTCTGTGCTGCCACCTGCTGGTGAAAGATAAATACTGCAGACAGCTGAGAGTTATCAAGTCAATTAATGACTAATGATTAGATCATGCATGGCTTGGAGCTGCTTAAGCTGTATCTATTTTAATAATCAAATGTAATTAATTCTAGTAAAAACCAAATTCTCCCAAAATTTGGCAGGAATTTTGCTTTTCTTAATATACCTGTAAACTGGGCGCCACCATAGCTCACCTGGTTGAGCTGGCATCCCATGTACAGGGCTACAGTCCTGATGTGGAGGTCATGAGTTTGAATCCCGCTCATGGCCCTTTCCCACATGTCCTCCCCCCATTCTTCTTCCCCACTTTTCTGTCTCTCTCTCACTGCACAATCAATAAAGGCACAAAGGCCAAAAAAACAACTTAAAAAAAAACAAAAAACATATTATATATATATACTAAATATGCTTTGGTCTCTTTGTTGCTAAAAAATATCACCTTAGGCATTTGTAACCAAACAGTAAATTAGTTTAGAAAATTAGAGATGAAAATAACATTTTCTTAATTGATGAATCTGGAAAATATTAGGGCTGGCCTGCATCATCTCTGTCTATTACTAGTTTGGCAAATTACCTGAAAACCGAACGTAACATATTGCAACCTGCACGTTAACAAGGAATGATGTTAAGTTACTAACCATGTCTAACTGTTATGTTATTGTGGGTGCATCTGTCATCCCACCATCTAGATCGAAGCTTCAAATTTTCAAGGATAACTCTTTAAAAAATGGTATTCAAACAGACAAATGATTACTGTTTGTTTAACAACAAGCAACAAAATAGTTATAAAAAGACCCATCACATTCTTAGGGCCCAAGCTGACATATTTAATGTCTGACCTGGGAGATGAAACAATAGCAATATATGTCTGTGATAGATACTTCATCAATAAGTTAATTATTTGCCATAGTGTTTGATATTTTCACTTAAATGCATCAGATGCAAACAGCCATGAACTAACATAATAAAAAGATGAAGTTTAGTTGAACAGAACTCAAATGTGCTCCCTGTCTGGCTCACAAACATCCTGTCATACCTTGATAATGGAGCCCCTTCGCCCTACATCGCTCTTCCTCTTCTATGCAGGTCTTTTGAATCTGCAACTGCCTGGGTGTCCACAGACCTCCCTGGTGATGGCTCCAGCCGACAAGGACTGGTGGTTGCCCTTGTGAGACAGGCTCCGTGGTCTAAGAACACCCACATGCCTGTATAACCAATCACCTCCATCTTCTCTGAGGGCTGGTGAAAGTGATGTTAGTGTGGGAGTGGGGTCCAGGCCACCATTCTTTATTTAATGTGTATCCAGGAGACATCATTCCTCTATCCTTATTTATTTTTGTCCATCCATCCATCCATCCATTATCTATACACCACTTAATCCTCACTGGGGTTGCGGGGGGCTGGAGCCTATCCCAGCTGACTTAGAGTGAAGGCAGGGGACACTCTGGACAGGTCACCAGTCTATCACAGGGCTACACTTAGAGACAGATAACCAAGGACACTCACATTCACACCTATGGACAATTTAGAATCACCAACTAACCTTTTTGGACTCCACGCAGAAAGTTTGTGTCCTCACCAGGACGCGAACCGGCGTCTTGCTGCAAGGCAACAGTGCTACCAACTGCGCCAGTTTGTGTTTATTTATTTTTGTGTCTAATTTATTTTTATGGTATGTTTTTCCTGGTTGTGTTAACAGTAAAATGATTACATGTTTACTTGAATAAATAAAAGGGGTTACATTCAAGCAGTTTAATTCAATATCAACATTTTTTGTTTATCTTTATTAGAAACAGATCATTGAAAACTTATTAGTAATTATCTCTATACAGCCTGAAATGAAACATTTTACTGTGACAAATTTCTTCAGCTTTATTGTGCACCTCAAGTTTAACTGATTGAAAGATCAATGTGTTCAGTGCACTGTCACAACTGTTCACGTTGGATAGATTAAAAATATGGCTTAAACAGTTCATTCTAAAAATTCTTTCCCTTATTTCATGATGATCTCAGCTCAATAAAAAGTAATCTCCTCATGAATCGATTAAGAAAACTTTTAACTTTTGCAGGTTAACAAAGTTTTGTGTCTGTTTTTCTAAAGGTATGTCCTTAGTGAAAAGCTCCCATCCTGCTCAGTATCAGACCCTCTGCTGCTCATCTGTAAATGCAGGAGATCACTCCATCTCATAGGAGCAGTTGTCCAGCTGCATCTTGAGAGACCTGAAGTCTGGCCTGTCAGCCGGCTCAGCACTCCAACATTTCAGCATGATTTGATAGAGAAAGTTGGGACAATTCTTTGGTGCTGGCATCCTGTATCCTGTCATAATCTGCTCATGTGCTTCCTGGTTACCTAAAGCTGAAAGAGACAAAAGTGGGCAGAGAGAGGAGACAGAAAAGCAGAAGTGGTATTAAACATCTGTTTGCACTAAAATATCTGTAGACACACCTGGGGGCTTTCTAAGTAAATCCTCATGCAAGCTTTGGTTCTGATGGTGGCGAGCTAACTTTCAACCTGATGTGTTTGAGGCTGAATAAAGAGCACACTTTAAACCAATGCTTTTATCCTCATTTGCCCACCGACACACCATGAATATTAGCTAGGCACCGTTTGCTAAACACCCCTGCTAAATTAGTGTCATTTTATAGGAAATTTAAACTGGAAACTTGAATTAGCCACATTGAAGCACCTTGAAATGAATGATTAATCCTTTTAAGCTTTTCAGTCAGGCCTCTATGTGATTGAATTGCTACAGTATTACTTGATTTCAGATGATCCACTGCATCAAAACAAATGCTCATTTCCATTACATATGGACCAGTAGGGACCTCCTCCACCTTCTAGCAGCCCCAGTAGGCGCATTACACCCACTATGACCCTCAGAGGTTCAGCAGTCATTTCACCTTTCATCCAAGAGCCTTTTTCAGTTCTGCAGAACCAGGACTACTTGGTTTAGCTTAGGTACCAAAACTACTTAGGTATGTTTATAACTAACCATACTTTACCACTTTGTTCATTTCACCTTGAAAACGTTTCGCCTCTTGGATGAGAGGTGAACTAAAACAAACAGCCCAGTTGCTTTTTTGCTAAAGGTTTTTGGATTATCAACATCTGGAAGACTGGAGTCATGATCCTTTCTTAAACCTAATTGAAAACTGAGGTGGGTAAACCAAACATCTACTGAAAACGTAACTAAACATTATCTGGAAAAAAGAGTGAAAAATGAAAGTCAAAATAAGACCTAAAAATATATATAAAATTATATTAATGATCCGAGACGGAACTCAAACTCAGGTCTTGTGATATCTAGTAATACAGTTCCTTTAATGGGCTGATGGTCCAACCGGGTGTGGAGAGCGCATAGAATGAAGCCCAGGAAGGTGGATTCTCTGGTGATCATGACTTGGATCTAGTGAAAAACCAGCTGAACTTCAAGGTATCTGCAATCCAATATGCAGGAAGAGCAGCAATGCATCAATTTCCAAGGCCAAGTAAATCATCTTTCAAATCTTTTTTAAAAAAAGTCTCTAAATTTATATAAACTGAAAGAGGTTTTGTTTCCTCATTCGTGGTCAGCAGTGTGACTCAAATCACGTGACTCTCCACCAACATTGCTGTTGTTGAGCTGAAACGGAAGGCTCCAAATAAAAAGAGAGAATTCGTACAAAAACCACGAAACTGGAGAATAAAATGATGTTTGTCGGTTCAATGAGGGAAGCTTCAAACAACGACTGTGGATTTTATCACCTGCCAGTTACCACAGAATAGCTTTGGAGAGAGATGTTTTAATGACTGGCGTGTGCAGTGAGGACGATTACAGCAAGTCAAACCTGTTTCAGTGTATGGGTATGCAATTTTAAGACAGACTATAAAAAAACTGCGAACATATCCTTTAAAAACAATTAAGGTATATTCCATACGCTCATCTTAAACGTGGTGGGGAAAAGAAGCTAGGATTAACAAAAATGTGAGGCAATTGAGGAAAAGCAGAAAAGGTTGAGGAAGAAAAACAAAACATCCTCGGTTCTGGAAAAAGAAATAAAGATGACATATAATATATATATATATATATATATATATATATGATCAATTAAGATCCCAACATTTTGTCCCAACTGAGGACATCAAACAGAAAGTTGAATAGGTGGCAGGTAGGAATGCAGTAATTGGTGTTGGTCGACTACAAACGTAATTACTCTTTAACAGTTAGTTGAAAAGATCAGTAGATTGTTTCTGGATGAACTAAAAAGGCCAAAGTAATCTCTCCAGCCAGCCTCATTAGCCTAAATCAACATGAAGTCTAGTATTTGCAGTGTATTATAGTTTTTGCACCTGATTATTTTGTAGTGAAATAATAACAAAAAACTAGGAGACCAGCATGCACTGCCTGTATTCATGGAACTTCTAAAAAGTAGAGCAAATTAACCATTAATTCCATGATTGTATTTCAAGCTTAAGGCTGATGCAGTGGGTCATTAGCTTAGCTTAGCACAACGTCTAAAAGTCGGGAAAACAGCCATCTTGGGAAAATATTCAGTCCATCACTTGCAAAGTGCACGTAGAACACAATCTAAGTCTTTCTCGCTAAAAAAAATACAAAAAACGTTTATCCATCCATCAGCACTTCTGATTTTTCAGTTCTGACAGATGGGTTTCTTTGTTTGGAGGTGCTGGCGGCCTTTATGCTAAGCTAACATCCCTGTGGTATACATCCACTCATCTAATTGCCTAAAAGAAAGAAAAGCTGTGTATTCCCCCAAATGTTTATTTACAAATGAACTTCCATATTTTGTTTGCTTATTGTAAATTTCTGTATAAGACACCTTTCAAAATAGTTTGTCACCAACTGGCTTGAGGCTCATGAAAATACTACAACCTCTGATTTATAAGAGCAGACCTGGAGCAGATTAGCATGTGCCTGCCCATGACGTAGTTAGTTTGAAGTTGACACCGGGTAAACAGTCAGTAAATAAACTAGAACTAGCAGACTCCATTATTTTTTCAAATTTGTGAAAACGAGGAGGTGGTAGTCTGTTATTCCACCACCAAATATAACTGATTTATCCTGGAACAGGCTTTTCTCTTTATTAAAGTAACACCAGCAACCGTCTGACCAATGAGAACTCAGTTGGATGAGATCATATCGGCAAACCCATTGACCAGTTGACCAAGAAACTACAGCCATAACAGAAGGAAGTTTCATAGCACAACACAATTACAACGTCCGCTGCAGGTCATAGTTGTGACGGAGACACTGGTATGCCAGTCTTGCAAATTTCCAAGACAAATACTCTGATGTGATAATGAATTTCATCATTTATTGTAGACTAAAAATTTAATTTTCAAAGCATCTAACCCAAAAACGTAGTCATTCAAACTAACCTGGATAAGGAGTGCCTCCATGGGTGATAATCTCATAGAGCAAAATACCAAAGGACCAGACGTCGGACTTGCTGGAGAACTTTCCGTGGCTGATGGCCTCAGGAGCGCACCACTTGTAAGGAATCTTTTTATCCTCTGAGATATATATTGGCTCCTGAATGGAAAAAAAAATAAAAATCTTTGTCTTAAAAGCAACCATTGTTGATTTGACTTTTTAAATCCGACTTGCAAACCTTCCCACCTCCTACCTTGACGATTCTGGCCAGCCCAAAGTCAGCCACCTTACAGATGTAGTCTTCTCCCACCAGGACATTTCGAGCCGCCAGATCTCTGTGGATGTTTTTGTTTTCCTCCAAGTACGACATCCCGTCAGCCACCTGGGCACCCATGTCAATGAGTGATGCGATGTCTTGAGTTTGCCCCTCTGAACCTGAGACAGAAGAAAAACAACAGAAAATCGGACAATTACTGTACAGCACGTTGATTTACATTACAGGTAAAACAAATTGGTACACGTCATGTTTTCAGTATCTGCTGATCATAAAGCATAGTTGTCCTGTAGCTGTATCAGTGCTGCATGAAGCACACAAAATCACTCTTATAATCTTAAAAACTTAATTGAGTTGAGATAAAGCTTCAGAGATTTGGACCTGTGAAGCTCACATTGGCAGAAGCGGCCAAAGTCCAGAATAAACTTAAGGGTTGTCAAAACTTTTACAATGTCTTACATGCGTTATCAGTGGTTTCAGTTACCAGTGAATATAACACCACAATTAAAGATCATATAATATAATATAAAATGGCATACAATATATTTTTAAGCAAAATGCTCACTATTTTGGTGTTCCCTTATTATACAAGAGCAGGGCTGACACACAGAGCATACGGAAAACAAGAGTTGGGGATAGGAACTGGAAATTCTCTGCTTCTGTTATTTACACCTATGCAGTAAGCGCCCTAACCACTCAACTTTGAGGTTAGCCAACATTTTTATGTGACTGATTAGAACGAAAATGAGGCTAAGAACATACAGCAGCTCTACATTAGATGCTCGATTCATAAAGAACAACCATGTGTGAATGCTAGCATGTTCACAACGATGGGGCCAACATGCCGATCTTTAGCAGCTCTCGTCTTTGAGAGATAAGCAGGTATCATATTTAGTTAATTAATAGTGGGTAATAATAGTTTTACGCTGCAGGAACTAGTGGGCTGTTTTAGGCAGTGCCACCTCCACAAATGTTTCATAAAGATGACCGGATTGGGAAAATCTTGGGACAGCACACAAATAAAAAACAAAAAAACACTATGACTGAATAACAGGAATTCTACTTTTATAGTTGCAGTTCAGAGTTTATCTTATACAATGTCAGTATTAGAGTTAATAAATTGTTTAAGCTACTGATATTTTATATTTTTATTTGACCTTTATTTTACCAGGTAAAAATGTTTGAGAACCAGTTCTCTTTTGCAGACATGAGTTGGCCAAGAGGTGCCAGCGGGAACAAACACATATGTAAATTACAGACACAAATAGATACATCAACATAACATAAGTAAACAAGCAAGAAGCATGGGAGCATATGCATGTGAATGAAAAAAGATGTGCATGAGGTGTAAAGAAAGTGTGTGTGTATGTGTGTGTGTGTGTGTGTGTGTGTGTGTGTGTGTGTATAAGTATGTGTGTAAGTAAAGTCCGACATGATCAGCAGGAGCAACAGTCAATTACAATCTGTGGGATTTTAAGCTTGAAGGTGGTGAGTGGAGTCAAAGTTGCAAGTTTGAGGATTTTTTGTAAGGTGTTCAAATTGTTAGCTGCTGCAAAGTGAAAAGAGTTAGGGCCAAAAATAGTAGAAGTATTGGGGATGATGAGCTTGATGTACTCACTAGACCTAGTACATTAAGAATTATGGGCAACATGAAGAAGAGAGGACAGGTAGGGAGGTGTCTTGCCCAGAATTGACTTGTAAATGGAAAGAAACCAGTAGTGAAGCCTCCGAGTATAAAGGGAAGGCCACCTCATCAATTTATAGAGATCGCAGTGGCGAGTGTGGAAGGATGCATTATATATTCCATTGTTTGTATTTTACAGGTAGTGTTACTTATTATCTGACATGCAAAGACAAAAGAATGAGACAGCAGATGGATAACCTAAAAAAACCCATGATGGCATAAATACTGAACACAATCTTAGAAGACACCAGAACAGTATCAGTAACCTGTCATAAAACCAAAGCCCTAAACCCGCTAACCTCACCCTGACACTACAGCACACATTGATGGTTTCCCACGAAAGACAGAAGCAGAAGAACACAGAAGTTTACTTCTGAGGAAGCTGAGCAGGCTGCCTCTCTCCATCAGCTCCATGATGATGTAGTAAGGTGACGAAGCCGTGCAGACAGCGAACAGGGAGATGAGGTGACGATGGCGGAGGCTCTTCAGGATCTGAACTTCTCTGTGAAACTCACGCTGGTTCATCTCGGAGTCTGAAAAGAGAGAATTAAAATGTGGGAAAGTAAAAGGGAAAGAGATTAAAAAAAAAAGGAACAGACACAAAAGAGGAACATGAGAGAGAGGCATAGAAAGTAGCAACAAGGAAATCACACTGAAATCTTGACTATTAAAGAAATAGGCCACAAACTGCGGTGCTTAACAAATAAGTCACATGTTGGCAAAAATCAACTGTAAACTGTAGAGAGAAGACATGGTTTGTATTCACTAGGTGGCTGCTTCATTTTGGGTGCCACGCCCATTTATTAAGAAACTCACCCCATCTTGTTATTCTAGAAACAGTGTGTTGCACAATGTGAGCGACCCGCCTTTATGCAGGGTCAGCACACTGTAGGAGACACGAGTAAAATGTCTTTACAGTCATAAATGAGTCATCAGCTTCATTAGATAAGTGACCTACTTAAAAGACTGCTGTTATAGTGGCTCTAAATCTCTCCACTTCCTTTACTTTCTGCATGTTTACAATCAGTCCAGTTGTCCTGAATGAAAACAACAGGCTGCGACTATCAAAACCGTAGTGAGACAGAGATTAGCATTGACATAGGACAACATTTTAACTGGGGAGGAAACAAAAGAAAGAAATTCACAGATTGTTGCACAACTCAAAAGAATACTTTGCCACTGTGTCACTTCGATTCCAAGCATAGCAAAGGCTGCTTGGTTGCCAGTTATGCATCATAGCATCAGAAATGGATCAACGGGGATTACTGTGAAAGATCTGGAAAAGCCACATTTGTATTCTGTCTCTACCAGATGAAACAAGCTGCGTGTCACTGACATTGCACATTTTAATTTGTGCACAATAAAATAAAAGTCACTTGATACAGTGTGCACATAGTACATTTTTAATACTCAATGATAGCGGCATACTGTACATTGATGCAACTGATAGGTTAAAGCGCTATGAGATGACTTGTTATTGTAAATTGTATGTAATAACAAAATTGAATTGAAAATTGAATTGAATAGGCTAAAAAAATCACCCAAATCAGGTATTTTAAAAGGACCCATATTATGCAGATTCTACTGGAACACGTTTATGCACCTTAATGCTCAAAAAAAGATTTTTTTCTCATGCTGTACTTCGCTGCAGCACCTTTTCTCAGCCTTTGTATGAACCGCTCCATTTTAATTCAAGTAGTGTGTAACACAGGATCCAGGAGCAGTTGGTCCAACACATTCTATGTTTAGATCTAATGCAGAGTTTCCGATGTTGTGACAAAAGCCTCTGATTTTGATTCACTACTCTCTGTTGTTTAACTCTCTGAGGACTAACATACGATACTGTTGTTGCCAAACCCCCTGTCTCTTGTCTGTATCTGTCTCAATGTCTGTCTTTAACTGTGTCTGAATGGGATGTTTTCTTGGTATGTCTGAATCGTTTTACATAATCACAAACCCATTTATTAAATGAATATTCATTTGATCAGCTGAGATGATAAAATACCATTTGAGAGGATCTTGATGGCAACATTGATGTGGTTTTTCCAGCATCCCTTGTAGACAGTAGAAAAGTTGCCACTGCCCAGCTTCTCCATCACGGTAAACTCCTCTTTCGGAAGTTCCCACTCATCCACTGTAAAGTGACTCAGGTCTTGAATGTCGGGCTTTTTCTGATTGAAGAAACACACAGGTTTGTATGTCACATAGAGACATGAAACATGGCGCATATATGCACAATCCTGCACCCAAACAAAAGTCTAAAGATGTCTAGAAAGGATCTTTACAGTTTTAACCAGAGAATGTTTGACTACCAAATCCTAAAAACACGAGGCAGCAAGTTGATGGACTATGCTCTAGCTACAGCTGTATTCATTAATTTTCTTTTCGACGCCATTTCTGACACTTCTTTTTTTTTTTCAGATGACCAGGCATAGGAGGAACAAATGAAGAAGCTTAAAGACAACCGACATATCCTGCCTCACCCTTTTGCAGGGGCTCCCCAGTCTGCCTGTGCTGGTGAGGCTGTTGGCGCTGTAGTAATCCACAAGATCGATCAGAGAGTCGAACTTGTGGCCAGGCTCCACGAGAAAATTACTCTCATTTGCGTGTTGGATCTTAAAATGTTTCACCCGACTGCTTGACCTCACTGCGGAAAGATACACACAAAATTAAACCTATAAAGTACATAAAATGCTACAATTTCAGTGGATGCTATTTTTTAAAAATGTTTTTGTTAACTTGGCTATTGCCTCAGTTGTAATAACACTGTATTTATATCATTTCTGAATTCTGGACATGAAGGAGCTAAATATAAAACTGACAGCACATAATGAAACCGCAATGCTCAGATAATCAGACAAGTGATGACCAACCTTTGAGCTTAATAAATGGAAATGGGTTTTTTTCTACAAGTACACAAAAACTGTCTGTTTGTGGACTTCTGTGCAATAAAGGTTTATTACTGACATTTTGGCTGCACTTATTCAGATTTTACTTCTATTAAAGTAATAATAATGATGCTAATCATAATAATAACTTTATTTGTAAAGGAGCTTTAATAAAAACACAAATGCCAATTTAGACAAATTATGATAATAAAAACAAATTTAATCAAATAAAAAAAAAATCCCAAACATGCAGATTATGATTGTAAATATTGAGGTTAGGACTGTATAGTGATATTTATGGTGTGATTTAACTGAGTAATTTACATATTAGGGATTAAAACTCTAATATGTAAGTTAAAAATATATATAAAATACCACTTCACCTGCTTATAATACATAACGAGGCTGAGATCATACAATGTTATTGATAATGGAGAATAACCAACTAGTGTAATATTATAGTAGTTTTAAAGTAGTTATAAAGTAGTTTGGATAATCTGGATTAACAGTTGGGCTGTTTCCTTTTGTTGCTTTCAGACTTTATCGCAGCCATGTCTCTAATGGAAATGACAAAAATATGCCACTTAAACTGAAAACCAATGTAGGGTTATTTAGAAAGGAGCGGATTAGCAGGCTGCTTAAAATGATGGTAAACACAAACACTGACATTTTCTGTGGCTTTGAAAGGCCATCAGTTAAATGCTTTGTGAGTGTGACTGTCACACATGGATGAGCTCTTAGAAGGAAGCATTTTTTGCCAAGCAAACAATGACTAATTGTCATAGTCCTATATGCGCTCATGTGTGGGTGCAGTGCAGTAACTATTACTTTGTTGTTTGCGTCTCTGACGCTGCACTCAGTCATCTTAACCTTCTGAAGTAGTTTCTCGGTGTTTTTTGATCTTATCACGTTTTTGTTTTGGTATTTTCCACTGTAATAAAAAAGTCCTGTACCTCTATGGAAACAGAACAACCACAGCTACAAGTTGAAGAGGACTAAGAATATCTTTTGTGCAGCATGACACTGCTATAATGCCATAATTAAAAACCAAAAAACTAAAACAAAAACAGAAGACCTAAAGTTATATTTCTTTGATTATTGGTTTTAGAAAAAAATGGACAAATTCCATAGTGGTGCAGGACTTCATATTGTTAAAAAAAAAAAATGCAAAAAAAAGAAAAAAAATACAAAAAGGAGCCCGCATAGAGTCAAAATGAGACCAGAGGGAAAAAAATTAATAAAAATCATGGCCAGAAAGTGTTGAGAGTTCAGAGAGTTAAGCATGCTGAAAATCTTATAGTATGCATATGTAGAAACCTCTTGTTAGAGGCTCGGGCTCCCTGTTGGTTTAAACCATTCAGATCTAAAGCCAAATATTGTCCTTTTATTTGACAGTTTCACTCCTTATTTTCCCTTCTTGTGAAATATGTGCAGCTTGCAAACTGAAGTGAAACTGCTTTCTCCGTCACTGTACTTTAACCCATCACATGCCTCTCAATCTCTTTATGGCTCTTGTCTATAAAACTCCCTTTTTTGTCGTCTTGCCTGAGAGAACGTATCCGATGTCATCCTTCTCGCTGTGTCGGATGAGAAAAGCTCCCACTTCATTTCCTGGTCCCATCAAGTGGCCTTGGGCCTCGAAGCGGTTCATTTTCCCATAAAACCACCTGAATCAAGACAGAAGGACATGAATGAAGTAATTATTAGAATGTGGTTGCATGGAGTCAGACTTTAAATCTGTAATCATCAAAATAATGACGTGAAATAGGATGAAAATGGTAGATCAGATATTCTTTAGTCCTCTTTAGATGAATCTCAGGTGTACACAAGATCTGGCAATTTATGCTTTGGGGGTGTTAAACTTTTTATGTTGCTTCCACTCTCCTAAGCTTAATTTAATATGCCTAGTTTAAAAGTGATAAGCCCATGTGTAGGTGCAGTGCAGTAACTGCTACTTTTTTGTTTGTGTCTCTATGACACTGCGCTCAGTCATCTTGGCCTTCTGGACCCAAGTTTTTTGATCCTGTCACATTTTTACTCACTCTGGAATTATTTTCCAGTGCAATGTAAAGTCCTGCACCTCTATAGAAACAGAATAACCCTGACTAGAAATGGAGAGGACTCAGAAATAGCTTCATGTTAGTTGAAGATATATAAAAATGAGCCCACAAGTGCAAGTGTCTGTTGCTTCCACTCTCCAAACCCTACACATAGTTCAAAGGCAATGAGCGGTTCCTATTGGCAACATTTCTGAACACTTCAAAAGTCTTTAAGGATAAGGAAGCATAACAGTGAGGGGAAAACAGCTGTTGTTACTGTTACACTGCACTGATTATCTTTCTCCATCAGGTTATGAATCAGATCTCTGGAGGTGGCCTGAGGCTGAAACCTCAGTTATTATAAAGATGTGTACAAAGACTGCACTTCTGTTTTTTAAGATTAACCAGACTGTATAATGACAAGCTACCAGCTGCCGAGCAGCAACTGGTATCCATTTTGGCTGTATAGGATCGACTTAACTTTTTGCAAACTGCGATTAAAACGGTATTTGACATTAATCTTTAAAGGAATTGGGCCCGTCTTGGAATAATATAATGTGAGTTGAAAAGTCTCACAAGACTAAACACAGACCTAAATTAAAGGTTGAATTTTTATTAAAAATAAAAAAGCTGTGAACGTACACAAACGGCTCTTTTGCCATTAACCTCCAGCTGTACCTCACCTTAGATAGCCTCCCAGCCTTACAAGCCTGTAAGAATTTTATACAGTTTCACTATAGACACTGGGTTACCGATAAATGTCGAAATAAAAATGTCAACAATTCTGCCTCATCAATGCCGCTTCCAGGTGAAACATTCAGTGACCAGCTGCCTCTCAGTCCACCAGGTTCACTGACTTTCTAGAGCGGCTCTGCTAACTCTAGAATGTCTCAGCCTTGAGCAAAGCTCACTAAATGTTCTGTTGTTGGCTGCAAGAATGAACACAAGAGTCGTCATGCACTGCCAGCATCTGAGGAACAGAAGGACCAGTTGATTAGTTTTATATTGATGGTAAAATCACCACAGCAAAGGAAAAAACCTTAGTGTTAGCGCCCTTCTCCTGAATGACTTCTTCACTTCACTTGGTGAGGATAGATTCCCGTTTATTTTATTTCAGGCTGTAGGTAAGCAGTATAAAGACTTCAAACATCCTATAACCTGGGAGTTAAAGCCGAACCATTTGAGGACCAGATATAAATAATCCCACCGGACTGAATCAAATGCCTTCTCGCCGTCTAGGCTTATAACTACTGATTCTTTGTCACTTTTTCTCATATTGTCAATAAGGTGTAATGCTCGCCTCACATTGTCCTGTGTTTATCTATTTTTTTTACAAAGCCTGTCTGAGTCAATCAGTTCTGGGATTATGTTTTCCAAGTGTTTTGTCATTACGGATGCAAACCGTCTATAGTCTATGTTTAGTCCTGATATGGGCCTGTACAGGTTTTCAGTAGGTTGATAGTTTCAGTGAAATCTTTCTTTACCTCCGCCCGTGATGCCTGTATCTCGGCAATGATGCCAGCTTGAATAGCCTCCATAGCCTTGGACTCGTTACTAATGTCGTCTTCTCTCTCCAAAGTTTCATTTTGTAGTTCTGCGCTTTGTTGCGATTTTCTCCGTCTTTCATCCCATCCCCTGTCCTAAAGTGCAAAGCAACTTTTGTCTATTTTAATCTTGTAAATTTGTAAGGGGATGATCAACCCTCTGGGAGCTTCTAGATTATGCTGCCGTTCAGCTCAGTGCCATACCCGGAAATCACGATTGCCTTTAAATGTCTGAAATTTTAATATACATGTGTGCTGTGAGCCCAGACTGCTGGTCAGAGACTATTTTAATCTTTGGGACTCTTTTAACCTCACTCAGTCTGTCACTGGCCCGGCACGCGAGAAAGGACACACATTGGACTTTGTGCTGTCTTCTGGTTTATGTGTCGGCATCAGTGAAATTTGTGACACATGTATTTCGGATCATCTGCCTGTTGTGTTTACCATTACTGTCCCTGGTTCGGAGGAGTCTCCCTGTGCTCTTGCGCAGGGGGAGTATTTATGACTACTATTATTCAGGAGACAGCGAGAGTGAATGTTTAGTGTACAGACGTGCATTCCGCAAAACTTACAAATTAAATGATTCTGAAGAAACACTCTCTCATCTTGCCTGTACTCCTGAGTATGTACAGCAAAATGACAATAAACTTGACTTGATTATTATTATTATTATTATTATTATTATTATTATTATTTAGTATTTATGAAAAATTCCAATCTGGTTTTAGGGTGTACCACTGTACTGAAACTGCCCTTTAAAGAGTTTTTAACAATCTTCTTTTAACAGCTAACTCTGGACACTCTGCAGTTTTAGTGCTTTTACATTTGTCGGCAGCTTTTGAAACAGTTAACCACGCTATTTTTTTAGCGAGGCTGGAACAGTGTGTGGGCACAAAAGGAATAGCTCTTAAATGGTTTGAGTCCTATCTGATCAACATAAGGTTCTGTGTTCGCCTTGGTGAATGTGCCTCACCTGTTGCCCCTCTCTCCTGTGGAGTTCCACAGGGTCCTGTACTATTTTCTCTGTACATATTGATCAAATGGCAGAAGTTATGTGAAGACGTTAACATGGGCTCTAGAGAACAGTGATGGTCTTAAAAAAAAAATAAAATCAACAAAATAATTATTATTCAATAATTAATATCAATAACAATTTTGCAAACTGTGATTGATTCTAATCATACTGGTATTGTATAAGTTTGGCTGAGGTATATAGGAGGCATCACGAAGAGAAAATGAACTTTTGCACACAATTCAGTAAATTATGCTCTTGATTTAAGATGACTAGGCTGCAAGGTGGCTCGGTGGTTAGCACCGTTGCCTCGCAGCTAGAAGGTTACTGGTTCGCGTCTCGGTGAGAAAACCCGGGATCTTTCTGTGTGGAGTTTGCATGTTCTCCCCGTGCAGCGTGGGTTCTCTCTGGATTCTACGGCTTCCTCTTACACAGTCCAAAAACATGTTGAGATTGATTGGTGATTCTAAATTGTCCGTAGGTGTGAATGTGAGTGTGCTTGGTTGTCTGTCTCTAAGTGTAGCCCTGTGATAGACTGGTGACCTGTCCAGGGTGTCCCCTGCCTTCGCCCTGAGTCAGCTGGGATAGACTCCAGCTTCAGGCTCCCCCCGCGACCCTAATGAGCATTAAGCAGTGTATGGATAATGGATGGATGGATTTAAGATGACTCACCACGTTCATGCCATTTGTTATGTTTTGTGTGTACTCCTTACACTCTCACTTGGATTTAATGGTTAATGACTTCTCCTCAAATACAGCGCCCTCCATAATTATTGGCACCCCTGGTTAAGATGTGTTCTTTAGCATCTCGGAAATTCAGTTTTTTTTCCTAAATATTATAGAACCACAATGAAAAAAAAGAGGAAAATTCAACCTTTAATTCAAGTGCATTTATTCCGTGTGAAAAAAAATCCCACATTTAAAAAAAATTCTTTTACATCAAATCATGTGTGCCACAATTATTAGCACCCTTGATGTTAATACTTTGTACAATCCCCTTTTGCCAACAATTCATTTGAACTGAGTTGAAGGTTACATTTTTCTATAATTGTCAGTGTGAGAGTGCTTCTGCAATAAAAATTTAATTTACTTTAAGGCTTTTAACACATCTTAACCAGGGGTGCCAATAATTATGGAGGGCGCTGTATATATTGATGGATAAAGGACTGTTTTGCATCAAATATCTTTAAATGTTTATGTTAATCAAAAGAATGCAGGAGGCAAAATATACAGTATAATATTAGACTATAATATATGACATTTTTCTTTATGACTCCAAACTGAGATGTTTCATTGGACAACAAACTAGAATAGAATAGCATAGAATAGAGGAACTTTAGAATTAATTGCAGCTTTCTATCTGACATATGGGAATACCCACAGTTTGCACACTTCCTATTCTGTTGAAGCAATAAACAGCAGGACAGGCAGACAAAACAAGAAGTGGTGAAGCTGCCTGTCGTTTGTGTTTGCGTCCTAGTTTGTACCACTGCTGGGACACACAGACAGGGGTTTGACATTATGTAAGCTGTTATTGACATTTCTCACAGTGTTGCACACAACAGAGAGATAGGCTGGATATATGCGATGCAGAAAATTAAAAACAACAAGGAGTTAGACCTCTATTCTAATTCAGCTCTATAAATAGCCACTTGCTGTTCGAGACTAAGGGAAATTGATAAACAGCAGTGGAGAGTGAGAAGTCATGGAAATGTTGCCACATGGTTTTTATCCAAAGCTCCACGGATGCTGCATACCAAGAAACATTCTAAATGTGAGCGATTTCTATATTTTGTAAGTTTCACATGAGGCTTTTCCTCACATGAAGTCTGTAGCTGGCATCTAAAGACAACCTGATTTTACCAAATGTATGTGATTACATTAGATGAAAACAATTAAGATTGTAGGTTTAACACATGGGCTGCAGGGTGGTGCAGTTGGTAGCACTGTTGCCTCGCAGCAAGAAGGTTGCTGGTTCGCGTCCCGGTGGGGGCACCGGAATCTTTCTGCGTGGAGTTTGCATGTTCTCCCCGTGCAGTGTGGGTTCTCTCCGGGTTCTCCGGCTTCCTCCCACAACGTTCAGAAACATGTTGAGGTTAATTGATAATTCTAATATAACAAACATATATATATATATAATAAATGCCTCCCAGTTAAAATAATGTGCAATATACAACTACACTACCTCTGCCCAATATCCAGTCTGTGAAATAATACACCGTGCTCATTATTTAATTTCATCTTGTATATAGAGTTCATTTCTTTTTGCTTGTTTTTATATATATATTTCCTTAATATTGTATATAGTGTTTACAAAGTTTTTATTGTTCTACAACTTATTATATTTATATTTTTGCACTGAAAGGACTGCACCTTACGTTTCGTTGTACTTGTTACAATGACAATGAAACAAATCTGAATCTGATTCTAAATTGTCCGTAGGTGTGAATGTGAGTGTGCTTGGTTGTCTGTCTCTAAGTGTAGCCCTGTGATAGACTGGTGACCTGTCCAGGGTGTCCCCTGCCTTCGCCCTAAGTCGGCTGGGCTAGACTCCAGCCCCCCCACGACCCTAGTGAGGATTAAGTGGTGTATAGATAATGGATAATAGTTTAACACATGCTGATTTAAAACATACAAAGTTAAAGGACGTACAGAAATACTAACAGCCCTGAGCTAACATAAAGACAAATGAAAGCGTGAGTGCACAACAAAGATTGCACATATCTTTGTTGTACACTCACTCTGAAATACAGATGACAGCGCTAAGCTCTTACAAAGCAGAGCATGTGAAATTATGGAAGCGCTGAACTGCCACTCCTCAAAACAAAGACAAAAAATAAAACAGATCAGTATCTCGTTATAACCTGAAAAGTTTCTTGTTATAACGAGATATTTTTCACGTTATAACGAGATATTATCACGTTTTAACAACATACTAACTTATCATGTTATAACGAGATACGTTTTTATCTCATTGTAACGTGATGAGGTTTCACGTTGGTGTCGGCGGAGGAGGACTCCTGTGCTCTGGTTGAGAACGGGCACATGGTCGTTGCAGTGGCAGCTGGCGACACCATGGCAGCACTGAGCGGTACTCCACTGTTGAAGTTTCCACGAAATCTTAGTGTACCAGCAGAGTCTCGTGTATGGAATCTCACCATGTCTCAACCCAAGCATGAAGAACAATTTAATCAAATCGTGTAAATGAGCCATATTCCTCTGTTTATCGTGCTCCGCCCACTGTTTTCTCAAACGTGATCCGTTTTTTTTTTTTTTTGAGGAGTGGCAGTTCAGCGCTTCCATATGAAATAATCCCATTTGCAAAGAAAACAAACTGTATAAGATGATCTTATAAAGCAAACGATCTCATATTAGGCAAATAGAGCAAAATTTAAGAGACAGAAAATTGTGTTGGTGTCTCTGTCATTATGGATAAGTCAAAAATGCAGTAAAATGTACAAAAAATATACATAGAAATTTGAAAAAAACATACAAATGTAGTTGTGGACTTACAAGTAGAGTTTAACTACCACTGACCAATATTTATTTGGTGTGAGGTCAACTCAAGTGTTTCAGCTGGCTCTTATTCAGGTTAATTCAAGTGTATTAACAAGCTGATAAGTGTTAATTGGCACATTTCCTCCTGTTTGACACGATGATGTTACTTAGATGTTGATGCAGCTGAAGCTTCTGCTGGAGTCAAGTCAGTGTTTACCAACATGTGTTCACTGCAAGTTTTTGAGGAAATTTGGATAAACACCAAGCCTAAAGGAGAACCCAGGCGAATACAGTTGCACTTCTCACAAGTTGAGGTTGAAAGTGGCTTTAAATAACTTCATCAGTTCAGCGGTCCTTTTAAAGTGTCTGTCGTGTTTAAATATACTAAAATTTTTCTGTTCAAGTCCAAATTCAGGTCCAATATCAAGTCATTGATATTTACTTTTACTAATGTAATAAAATAGAAAGTTTGGAGGAGGCGTTGCACAGCGTTGTGAGAAGTGCAGCTTTGGACTGTGCATGTGTTTTATATATCTATGTAAACATAGAGCAAACTGATTTATGTGGCTGCAGCTTGAAGCAGAACAGAGATGAAATGATAATGCAACACATTACAAAAACCAAACTATCAGAACAGTGAACTGTGGACTGTGGCTGTTTTAACTATTAACCCTCTGAACCCCAAACCCTACTGGCAGGATTGAATCACATGTTGTTTTTGAGCAAGAAACTTTAAAAACAGAGAGAATTGCATCATTTTTAACTATTCAGTGGTCTGTGGACATATTAGTTTTTCCAGGAAAATCAACAAAATCAAAGCTTAATATTGTGATGTTTCATCAAAATCACTTTGATCTATATGTCTAATTTAAATAATTAGTCAAATATAAACCAAATAGAAAACAAATCTACCCATGGGTATTAATAAAGTAACCTTGAACCTTGAACCATGTGCACTAAAAAAACAAACCCTAAAACTTCTGTGCTCCTTGGTGCAACTGAGAAACTATGACTGATTTGGCTCCGACCAGCAGTGTATTTTCTGCTTATCTGCAAGCTGTGTTATCAGGGAACATCTGTAACACCACTTGGAAAAAAATGTGTACATGTTTTTGTACTTTCGTGCTTTAGACTTTCAATTGCTTTGTAAAATGTGGCAGGAGCAGAGGTGCCCAGATCGGACTGCACTGTGTGGTATGCACTGCAGTGTCTACAGCTCTCTATATGGTACATACAATGATTTATGGTGACCAGAAAGTCCTTTATTTCTCCATGCAGTCGAAATTGCAATATAATTTACTCCATTTAACAATTAAACTGCACTTCCTCCAGTTATAGACTACTAACAATAAGAATATCACCTCAACTTTTGGTTAAACTGCGCGCGTAATACCTCAAATGTACAGTGAATGGAAGCAGTGAGAAGGAATGGAGTTAACAAAAGTTCAGCTGGCTTTAGGAATTTGATAGTAAAGAGTAGAATGAAGGGTTGGTTTACTCAGATCAAACACTCACGGCTGCATTTCCAGAGACTCGGCCCTCCCCAGGTAGTTGTTGGGCACAATCCCGGTGGCCAGGACGCATCCGTTCTTGTCGATCTTCCGTGCGGTCCACCAGTCCCCGCTGCGGCTGATAACACGGAACAGATCTCCCTCATTGAAGGACAGCTCGTCCTTGTGCCGGGCTTCAAACGGCCACAGCGCCGTGTAGATGGAGCTGCCGTCCGACAGCTTCTCCTGGCTCCTCTTCTGGGTCGCCGGCTGGCTCGGTTGTCTCGTCACGTCGCCGCCGCCGCCACTGCTACTGTCTCTTCCTGGTGTTTCTTCTCCTCCAGGAGAAGGCTTTTTGTTTTTGAAAATCCTCTGCCATAGTGTTTCCAGACACGGACAAGCTTTCCGCAGACACTCACCCATAGATGACCATGAATGCCCTCCCGCTTGGAGCCAGCTAGTCCCTTGTGGTGCGCCTCGGTGCGGCCAGCCGACTACACCTGTCGGACAGGTAGAGAGGATGGAGCGCCAGGAATCCTCGGAATGCCCTCTCAGAAACTGTTGCTGCTGGCTTTTATTCCCGGTCAGAGTGCGACTGCTGCGCTCAGAGGACTGACTTGAACTTCCTGATGCCTGGCAGCAAGAAAACGCACTGGAACCCCGCCTATGACAGACGGACGCGTCAGAAACCATATACAAGGTGTAACCTGTTTGAGCCGCACAAAGCTTTGAGAACAGAAGTCCTGCTGAGAGACACATGGGGTGTTAAAGGTCAGCTGATTACAAGTTCATTTCTTTTGCCACATGCACATTTAAAGAGGTTACTGACAACAGAGGAGCAAATTCAGCTGATGTGTGTTGAATCAGAAAGGTTAATGTTCAAAAAGACAAGCTGGTCAACAGAATAATAATAAGTGTTCAAAAGCAATACAGAATCCCCGACTGCCTCACTGCATTATATTTTATTATATTGTGACTAAATACATTTGCCTTGCAGTGACGCATTATGGATAAAAGAACAGCTCTGTAAACTCTGCGTTTTAGATTTATGTTCACTTACAGCAGATCCAGTTTTCACGGTGTTCACCATGTTTATTTACACAAACTAATAAAAAAAAAAAGCAAATCTCCGAATCCCAAAACATTTAACAAACCTAAAAAATAAATAAATGAACTTAAACACATCCTACAAGGGTATAACATTTTGGAATTCCTCAAACAACACTCACATTCCCAATAGTGTATTAGATTACTTTTTTTTTTTTTTTTTAATCTCTAGTATAAAATGCTGTCTTTACATTAAAAAAACACATTGTGGTTTACTGAATTCAACTTCTTTTTTGAACTATATAATGTTCAAAACTCCAAATGCACTCCGTTAACTGACAGTTATTTTCCCAGATATTCTCTTTACTTTTCACAAAAACATGGTATGATTCTTTACTAAAGAGATGCAAACTGAATTTACGATCAAACAGAACCATGTGCCCACACTGCTTTATAAATCTGGTAGCAACTTTAAAGTGTGGATATACAGCATTTAAAAACAAACAACAGCAACAAAAAAGACAATAGGAGGATGTAAAACACTGCTAACATGGTTCAGCCACAGATGGAACTTCTACCTATAGTTCATCTGTTTGTACAGGAGAACTAGTATATTTCTCACAAAGGTGATGAAAACTCATGTTCAGCTGAAACCAGAAGTTTACACACACTGTATAAAAAGACACAGAACCTTTTTTTTTTTGTCACTGTCTGACATTAAAACTTTTCCTGTTTTAGGTCAGTTAAGATTACCAAAATTATTTCTATTTAATAAATGCCAGAATAACTGTACTGTGTATAATTGTGTATGTGATGAATAAAAGCTTCTCTTCTCTTCTCTTCTCTTCTCTTCTCTTCTCTTCTCTTCTCTTCTCTTCTCTTCTCTTCTCTTCTCTTCTCTTCTCTTCTCTATCTAATTTGATTATAATCGTCCATTTTAGCTGCTTTATTCAACTTCAAAGAAAACTGAGTTTTATTTTGTGGTTCTCCAAATGCAAACTTTTCTGCTGTAAAGTTCAAATTTGAGCCTGAGACTTGAGTCTTAGAAGCTATTTTTTTCACTGGTTTTAATCTTGTAATGTGAAAAGAACAAGATGTGCTCATGTGTTCACATGAGTTAAAAGATTTGAAGATTTCAGAACATGCTTTTATTGTGCGTAATTGTAAAAATTAGTAATTTCGTAGTGCAAATCTGGAGCTCTTAGACTTACAGGTTCTTATGCTCATTACTTATGATTTATTATTGCGTCAAATATTCAGGATATTACAGTTTTTCTTGATTGTGTGGCAGACTACAGCAATGCACTATGCATTAAAATGATCCCAGGATAATTGGAAGGGGGGATTAGGTGCCCGACAGCGTCACTCTGGGAACTGCACCCAGAGAATTACCCTCTTTGAACACAAGAAGGCACACAGGTTCGTTCTACCCAGGCATGAGACGTGGATCCGAGATGCAATTATTTACTTTATTTGTACAAGTTTTAAGATATACACACGTGGACAAAATTGTTGGTACCCCTCGGTTAATGAAAGAAGGAGACAGAAAACATTCCCAACCACCTTGTGTTGGCAATCTTTCAGTTCTGCAATATAAATAGTAAAATACTGTAAATACTGTGTAGGAATACAAAGTAGGAATACATTTCCTAAATGCTTGAAACATACTTTATTTTTACAGTCCGACAGAACAGTCCACAGGCAATACTATACTACTGTACTCATTGAGTACTGTATTAATATGCAGTACCGCAATTTTCTAGTGAGAGTAGATTTCTTACCTATTCTCACTACGGAAAGTCCGGATGATGGATGCAACAGTGTACCTGCTTGCCCAGCCTCCCTCATTGTTAGACCATGGTTGACCACATGGTCAACCAAAGTGTCTCAGCTCTCATCAGAGATTACAGTCCTCGTCCTCGTCTTCCTCCTCTTACTCACACTCCTCTGGCGCTGCCTCTATTTCCAATGTTGGCATCCATTGCTCCAAAACAGAAGAGTGAGTTGTCTTTTTATGCTAACTCTCGGATTGCCAGTTGTAAAACAGTGTGACAGGTGTTTGCCCATGTGATGAGTCAGTATGCATAGTAGGGCAATTAACTTTAGAGTTTTAAATGACAATGTGTTCCGAGTGAAAAGGATTTTCTTCATGAAAATTGTGTTTAGTGGTTTGAAAAAAGTGTGTTTTAGAACTGCAATTTGAATGTAAAACAGGAATTGTGCTTGTAGTTTAGCAGAATTGGTTCAGTGGGTTGGTGCATGAGTTTACATGCTGTGGTCATTGTGTCACAAGTACCAGTATTTGTGTGTAAACAATTGAGAAAAACTGAAACGAGTTAACAGCAGAAAATGTAGCGTCTATGTGTAGATTTTAGTAAAACTTTATTTTGTCTTTTTTTTTTTTTGCAGAATCATTGTATTTCATTAAACTACTTTGAGTTCTTTGAGCATTTTTCAACAAAATGCTTGGCCTGTGGCTTTCAAAATGGTTAACAAAACATCTTTAATTCTATATAGGTGTTAGATTTATTTATCAGTTACTTACTTAGAAACAAATAACATGAACTCCTTAGAGATCAGTGTTGTAAAAACATCTTATCAATGTAACCTTTCTGCAGACTTGTTCTGGTTTCACCTGGAAAGAACATCAATCTGAAAGCTTTTGAAAGTTCTGACAAACATGAATTCAGTTTCATTGTATCTATTGACATTGAATGAGTTGATGAAATAAGTCTCAGTGTACTAACAACGATATCTCTCTATTGTTAGAAGCTACATCTCTGACGGTGTCCACCACAGAACTGTCCAGATGAACCCACCGACTGTTCCATCAGCTTCAGCATCTTTGAGATGACCAACTCGTTTGTTTGTGAGAAGCTGCTCAGGCCAAAATTAAATACTTCACGTGCACATGCATTTATACAGGATGTGTACATGGCTGAGTATGTCTCAGTCTCACACAGAAAAACATTTTTAGCCTCACACGTACACACAAACGCTTCACTTCTATATATAGTATGTCACAAAAGTGAGTACATTTCGGCAAATTGATCTTTTCATGAGACAACTCTGCAGAAATGACACTTTGCTGCAATCTAAAGTAATCAGTGTGCAGCTTGTATAACACTCTAAATTTACTGTCCCCTCAAAAAAACTCAATACACAACCATCAATGTCTAAACTGCTGGCAACAAAAGTGAGTATACCCCAAAGTGAAAATGTCCAAATTAGGCCCAAAGTGTCAATATTTTGTGTGGCCACCATTATTTTCCAGCACTGCCATTTCTTCAGTGTTGTCCCATGAAAAGATATAATAAATATTTGCAGAAATGTCACTTTTGTGGTATACTGTAAGTGGGTCAGTCAGTGTCATTTCAGATAACGAGGTCATTCATCACAAATCACTTAATTTTTAGAAGAATTCTGCCTGACCTTCTCTGTTTTACTTTTAGCTCGATACTGTATATCAAATATTTTCTGAGATAAAAATCTGTATGAAAACACCTGTCAATGCACTTCCAGCACTTTTTTCTTTGCTCATTGATATTTGAGGTTATGTTTGAATGACAATATGTTAGGAGCTTTCATCCAAACGCAGCCTCAAATGTAACTGTGTGGAAAAAATGTGATGAAACTGTGATGACGGGTATTTAAAAAAAAAAAAAAAAAAAGTCTATCTTGGAAAATGGTTTAATTCATCAAAATAAAATACCTAATTTAATTTTAAATAACCATATTATATTATATGACCGTTTTAAAGCAAATTAAGAGATTGTGAAGATGTGAGATGGAGTGACCCATGTATGAGTGAGACTGAGTCTTAATATGAAATACTTGATAAAAAGGTTGTTTTTGTTAAACTTTCAAACCAAAAAAGAAACAAATCTATATTTTGTAGAGTTGTGTTAAAGATGAGACTTTACATGATGGCTTAAATGATGTGTCATAATTCAGCTAACACATAATCAGATTATTTCATGGACTAAATCAGTGACATCATAATTAACAGGCTTGCTCTCTGGGAAGAACTGTGTAAAAAGATAAAGTACAAGAAAATAAAATCCTTAAAAGTGGACAAGTTTAGTCTTTGTAGTTTTACGATGAGCAAGTTTGTTTGGTCTAAATGAAGCCCAGTGAGGAGAAAGTCACAAATTTTTCTGGACAAAGTACTTAATGGCTTGTAATGAAGTTAAGCTTCATTACCTACAAGAGTGACATTCTGGGATAAATAAGACACCAGACAATGAGTTTAATGAGTTTAATGAGTGTAGCATGTGCTGCCATGTGCTGTTCGGTGGCTTCTCCTCACGGCGCTGAGTGACAACGGTAGTGAGGCCTATAAGAGAAAGGAAGCAGTTTCAGGAACAGGATTAAGTAATTGGACTTAATTGGTAGCTGAATGACCATAGAAGCGGGTATGTGGTAGAGATGGGCAAATGATACCGGAGCACCGAAGCTTGTGCCGGTCTAATGAACCGCCGTGTGTCAACTCAAAGTGTCGGAGCTTGTATCGAGCGACAATTGTCACGTGACTGGTGACGTCTGAAGCTTCGGATGTCACCGGTGCTTCATGAAG